TCAGGGCTTTATGTATCCTCGTGCGCGCGCTTAACTTGGGGTTAAAGCAACTCCGCGTTGACTGAACTAATTGTTATCAGCCTTTCTGAAACCGAATATTCCGAGTTGGACAGTTCGGGGTTACTCAACCCTGAGTATCGTTTTTCACTCTGAGTTTTCTAAACCGGCTTCCTGAAATAGGGCCTTGAGAACTAATGTGCACAATAGTGAGCCACCCAGTTCTTCTATGTCGGTGTTGTATGGATGTTGCCAGTCTACTTTAAACATGCAATTATGCGTTCTTCATGTCATGTCAAGAAAACTAATCTTGAGGCTACAAACCCATCAAGTTTTACACCAATCTCTTGTTTTTCTTTTGTTGTCTCTTTTTACAACTGTTGTTGTTATACTATTTTAACATGTTCAAAATAAAGGTACATACAAATACAAACTTGCGGTGTACCTCAAGGCTCCATCATGGGTCTAATTCTGTAGTTTTAAAGAGCTACCTAAAAAAAAGAAGTTAATTAAGTTCTTCAAAATAAATGCTCAAATAAGTACCTAGAGACATTTCAGGATTGCTGCCACTGGCAAGACTTTCTTAGGACTTTAATTCAGTCAACTCATGATATCGCCTCATTTTATTTTTTTTTTTAATCGTTTCAGACCTGGATCACACAGCAGATGTACAGTGAGTACCTTTTTGGTATAGTAAAACCATGTTCCTCTGTTTTTTTCTTAGTTTTTAACAAAAAAAACCCTTCTTTTTTCTTTTCCAAGAATTCACTCTTGGGGAGACTCTTTGGAGGAAGCCTTTGAGCAGTGTGCCATGGGCATGTTCGGCTACATGACGGACACAGAGACGGTGGAACCGATAGATACAGTTGAAGTGGAGTCGGAGGGTGAGAGTCTGTCACCAAGATTTCAACCGACTCCAGTTGTACCTACTTTCTACCTGTCTCAGTCTGGCTGTTTGCAGAGCAGATCAGCTAAAGTCTGTGTGTATGTTTTTGTTCCTAAAAGGTGAAGACATGGAGTCGCTTCTCTTCCACTTCCTAGATGATTGGTTATACAAGTTTAGTGCAGATCTTTTCTTTATTCCCAGGGTGAGTATCTTGGTCACTTGTGTATTACTTAACATGTACTTTAAACTTCTTTACATTGATTGCATATCTGTTTTTGTTTGCAAAAGCATTTGAGACCTGAGCCTTTATAAAATAGATCGGTTTTGATATAAATTATGACTTAAATGGGTAAGTATAAAATCTTTCCTTGACACGGAAAAATAATATAGACTTCATACATTTCTATGAAAGCAGGACAGAAAGCAACATGTATTGCTATCTTAACCATCTCCAAATTCTATGTCAAGCCACATTTTTATAGGCCCAATGAAACAGATCCATAAGCATTTTGACCCTGTTTTTGTCATTTTGCCTCTATACACTCCCCGAAGCAATTTTAGTTTTAATTCAAGGGTTTAGCAGAAATACGGCATCACTATTCAAGAATTATATACACAGTCGCTTATTTTCAGATTCTCCAAAGTAATTGGACAATTGACTTCCAAGCTGTTTCGTGGTCTGTTGAGGCCTTCTTCCTGATTACTTCAAGACAAAATGACTACAATGGTCTGGATTTGATTATATAAGTTTATTTTTGCATTTTATAGCTTTTTACTGGAGCTCTCAATGTGAGGTCCAAAGAGTGGTCGACGCATGTGAAGGAAGCCATCTTAGTCTGGGGAAAAAAAAAAAAAAACCTAAAAAGGAAATGGAAAAAAACTTTAAGTGGTCAAATCAACAATGTGGTCATTCTGTAAAATAATGAATGAATCATCTGGCCAGCTCAGCAACATCAAAAGCCTTGAAAGACCACAGAAGACAACTAAAGTTGATGATTGAAGAAATCTTTCTTGGATTAAGTAAAACCACTTCACAACACATAGAGAAGAACACTGTCGAGGAGGTAGGCGTGCCATTGTCAAGGTCTGCAATCAAAAGACAACTTCATGAATGGAAACAGAGGATTTACAGCAAGGTGGAAACCACTGGTTACACTCAGCAACAAGGACATCAGATCAGAACATAAAAGAAAACAAAGAGCCTGCTCACAAAAGTAAGGAGACAGACTGAAACAGCTCATGATCACACAGATGCCACATCATCTGTCAAACATAGTTGAGGCAATGTTATGGCATGAGCATGTAGGACTGCCAGTTCAACTGGGCCTCTAGTTAGTACTGGTGGTGTGGCTGCTGATAGAAACAGCTGGATGAATTCTTAGTGTACAGGGCCGTACACCTTGCTCAGACTCAGTCAGATTCTGCGTTTCACAGTGCAAATTGAGTTTCTTAAGGAAACAGAAATGGGATATTCTTCAATGGCCACGTCAGTAACCAGCTGAGCATGCTTTTCAGTTACTGAATATAAAATTGAAGGCAGAGAGACCCACAAACAAGCAGCAATTTTATTTTATTTTAGTTTATCCAATTACATTTGAGCCTCTGATAATGGAAGACTGTGGATAAAAATGTCTGTAATTCCTAATGTTGTACTTTGGTTAAACTCCTTAATATTAAAGCTGAAACTCTGCACTTAAATCAGATCATGATTGTTTAGTTTTAAATGTGGTGATGAACTTACCCAAAACAACTGGTAATATTATCTTTTTTTTCCTTCTTTTTTTAATATAATCACCATCTCTAAATATAATAGGCTGCAAGTAATTTTGCTACTGTTCCTTATTTACATTACAGTTATGAAGTTGCTACATTTATGAAGTGCTAACAATTTTGTCATATCTGTTCATCAGGAGGTCAAAGTTTTACATATTGACAGAATGCGTTTCAAGATTCGCTCCATTGGGTAAGTTTGGGGTCCTCCTCAATAACACTGAAGTTATCTTGATATTTATTTTAAAAAAGTATTACGTACAATTCAAACCGGAGCTAATGTGGAACAACTTTGTAATTTGTTTTTAAGGCAAAGGTCAAACCTGATCAGGACATGCAAAAAAGTTTTAATTTACTTTCTTTGCTTTATTTTTCTTTGGTTTATGAAAGGTGGGGCGAAGAATTTTCTCTGGAAAAGCACCCACAGGTAAGCCAGACAAAGAAGTAAAATGACACTCATTAGAAGAAATACATAAAATGAATAACTAATGCTACAAAACTACAATGCAACTACAGTAACTTATGTCATTTGTTGTCCTTCTAGGGAACTGAGGTGAAAGCCATCACATATTCAGCAATGCAAATCCACGATAAAGAAAAACCAGAAATATTTGCCATCATTGATATCTGATACAACTGCGAGAAGAAGCTCACACTCAATGGTTCAGTAAAAGTGGGAAGTCTACATGACCAGTTTAAGTGGCCTTTTAATTCAGCGCACTGATTTTTGATTAGTACTGTCTTTTTTGGGGCATGTAAGCTCAACTCTTTATTTAAATTTAAAAAAGAATTGTAAAATTAGCCTTACATTTAAATGAGACTTGTGAGGGATATCAATTATTTGGAGGGAATACACTGAATTTGAACTGTGCACCTGAAGTCACAATTACCAAATTTAAGCTCAAATTTTCATTTTAGGAGATTATTACTCTTATGTGTGATGGTTTTGAAGGTGTGTTGATGCATTATATCTCATTGTAAATAAATAAATAAGCAAATGTTTACCTTTGACATACAATTGAGTCACCTGTTTTTCAACTTAAAATCTCAGTTTTAAGTATTTTATAGAAGTGTTGCGATTAAATAGGACAGAAGTGCAAAAAGGTCATCATTTATCACCATATTTTAGCAAAGAATATCAAATTGGAAAAAATATGCACAACTTACTGAGTTCAACACAGCAAAATATTCCAAATGTACACTGCGTCTACTTTTTGAACTGTTTAAACCTGTTCATACATCAAATGTAAGATGAGCGTATTCTACAAAACACTTCCCTGCATTAGACATCAGGATATTCATGCCTGGGCTTGTCTTGTTTCCAGAGAGTAACTGAACAAAGCCACGTCCAAAGCTTGTTTTCAATAGATATCTCAGACAAAGCGGTATAATACCAGGAATCTGCCTGTATGAATAACGGAAAGTACAGGCAGCAGTATTCTATGTATAAGAGAACTGTTTTGGTCATTGACTAAATACAAATACCAGGCAAAACAGAATAGAGTGTTAAAACGGGATGTTGTATATCCTGTAGTGCTTCAGATAACTGAGAAAGAACATTATCTGCATTGATATTATAGCTTCTTCTTGCTGCAGTGCCCACCAAGCACCTCCGAAAATTCAACCTGAACTGACTCATTCATGTGTGATGTGTGAGCTGATAGTTGAGAGCTTAAATCATTACAAATTATATTATTATTTGTTTGTAAACGGAGCTGGCCTTTGAAAACCCGTGTGGTCTGTTTTGATGATGTTCTGGACTGATGCACTGGACAGTTTGTGTGTATTGAATTTCAAAACTTTGGTTTGACATTTTACAATAACTTATATCATAATCCAGACTATTGTAGATGTGGGTAAATGGTGTGTAGTGGTGTTTGCTGTATGCTTGTGAGAACTGTCTGAACTAATTTATTTTCAAGTTTCTTTATTTTTGTCATCTGAATACTAATTTTAAAACTCAGATTAAAGAACCCAGAGGTCATTTGTGTTTTGTGCTGGTTGATTTTGTCAGACTACAATTTCCTGCTTCTTGAAGGACATTCAAAGCTCTTCTTTGGTTGATGGATGCTTTTTTTTTTTTTGTTCTGTTCTCTGATAAGATCATCAGTAAAACATGCTACCACTGTGCAGGTCTCATGTAATTTGGCATGCCTCAGCCCTTTTCTCCATGTTTCCCTTCCTTGAGAATGGTTTCTTATGGCCACTCTACCACTGAGACCAGGCTTTGAGGCTTCTGCGAACTAAAATGCATCTCTCAGGTCCTGTGTCAGGTCTATGCTGGATTCCCCTCGCTGTTTCTTAAGGACATTGCTTTCATATACCATTCATCTGCTGTAGATGGCTGTTTATCCTTAAATACTACCCTTTTTTTTGTCCTCGATTTTCCTCAAAGTTTTTTCAGAGCACACTTCACACCGTGCTGGGAAGTATCAAGTTTGCGATAAAAGCTCCTTGTTTTATCCCTGTCAACCGTGGTTTCTTTGGAATTTTCCATAAAATCAAGTAAAGAAATAGGCACAACGTTTGGGTAAAGTACCTTAAAAGAAATCCCCTCAAATAAATGAAAAAACAGACAATAAAACAAGGTTTGCTCTGACTTTGGCACAGTGCTGTAACAGCAGGTAATCAGGGCTTTGGAGCTTCTTGCAGTGACGTCACGGTCGCCTTCCGGGTTCCCTCCTCCCCCTCACTGAAATGCAGCTGCGCCATCCACCCTCCTTTGTCTGCTGAGGAAGAGTGCGACGACTTGCAGCGGAGAAAACGCCGGTGGGCCCTTTACTAACTACACCGTTTTCCTTGTTGCATTTTCGTTTTAAAGGGGAGAAGCTTGACGAACTGAGCCGAGCTTCGTTCGCGCGTTATGAGTCAAGCGAATGCTAATAAGAGCAACCTAGAGCCCGCCGTAGAGTCAAGCCCAGCAGAGAATAAGATCAAAATGGAAGACACTAAGTACCTCCCGGAGCTCCTGGCGGAAAAGGATAGCCTGGATTCATCGTTCACGCATGCAATGAAACTCATATCTGCAGGTAATGTCGCTATTTGCTTTAACATAAAGGCTAACCCGGGCTAGTTAGCTCGAGTCGGGGCCTGTTTTTTTTTTTTTTGTCCCTTCTTAGCCGAGTCGAGAGGCCTGAACAATGGCGCATTAAGCACGTGGTTGATAGCGATGTGGGTCAGGTCGTTGTCCAGTGTGTATTTGAAGCTGTGTAATTAAATCACTTGCTCTCAACGGTTCTGATGGGATTTTAATCGTGTTTACTCATCAGCTAACACCGATACTTAACGACGAACAGCTGCGATTTCGAGGCGACTATTTGCTAACTACAACCCAAATGCATGCAAAGCTTTACCTGCCGTTTCATCTTCGGATGACGCAGGGAATCGTAACCCATATCATCTGAAAAAAATCGCTTTCGTCTATTATTTGAAATGCATTTGTTCATGAATGTCAGCTTTTTAATCGTGTTTAATTCCTGCAGAGATTGAGAGGATCCAGAAAGGTGAAACCAAGAAAGAGCCTGAGAAGGAAACATACCTGGACCTGTTTGCGACCAAGAATCTGAAGCTCAAGGAGCGTGTCCTCATTCCCACCAAGCAGTACCCTAGGGTATGTCTTTTCCCATTTACATAGCGCCCTAACCACCTAGGCGATTCAATCAGCTGATCTAACAGATTAATTGTACTGATTTCTCACACTCTACTTAATTAGGGTTTTTTTTCCCCTTTTGGGGAAGAGGGGTGTCTCTGAGGTGCTGACGTGAATTATGAATTTGTTGCAGGTCAACTTTGTGGGAAAGCTTTTGGGACCTCAGGGTAGCACAATCAAGAGGCTGCAAGAGGACACCGGAGCAAAGATTTCAGTTCTGGGTAAAGGTTCCATGAGGGACAAGAACAAGGTTTGTCTAATGGTTTCCTTTGCTTCTGTCTTATTGCCCTGCATCACTCCTCTGGCTATAGAGTTTTGTGCGCTCATTGTTTTTAGGAGGAAGAATTTAGAAAGGGGGGTGAGGCTAAATATGCTCACCTCGCCATGGAACTGCATGTGTTCATCGAGGTGACGGCACCCATACCAGAAGCGTACCTGCGCATGGCTCACGCCATGGAGGAGGTGAAGAAGTTCCTTATCCCGGTATGTGTGCGGAGAGACATCTTGATGCAAGAATCAAACTTTCTAACAGATCCACTGATTCCTCACTGCTCTGCAGTAATGGTATGCATGTTTGTCTGTTGCCACGTGAACAGGAACCTGGTGAGCACGATCCATACATGGATCCACTGTTCCTGAATGGATCCCAGGATGGTTCGAGGGGGCGAGGTGGTCCTCTAGGAAGGGGCAGAGGTGGACCACCTGGTGCTGGAGGACCAAGGTATGCGCTGGAATCTGTGACATAGTGTACTACAATACATGTTGTCTGGTAACACACTTACCTGAAAAGAATGCCTTAACGGGTTGAATATGTGCTTGCTGCAGATGTAAGATTCACACAAACTTAAAATTACAAATGTTTCTCAGTAAACTAAAATGTATCTGCAGAACACTAACGTGGAGTCCGTTTTTTGCATCTGGTTTGGCTAAGTAGGTTAATGGTTCTGATTTAACAGGGGCCGAGGAATGCCACGTGGGGCTCCTCGGGGAGCGATGCGCGGTGGGGCTCCACGCGGAGCACCGGGGCGAGGTGGTGCACCAAGAGGTGCTCCGTCTGGTCGGGGTGGACCTCCTTCTGCTCCTACTAGAGGAGGCTCTGCTCCTCGCTCCAGACCGCCTGCAGCAGGGGCTCCCAGGATGCTCCCCTCGGCAGCCTTGTCTCACCAGCAACACCAGGTTCCACCTTCAGCAACAGGGTCAAAGCCTGATGCTTATGAGGATTATGTAAGTGCTGAATCCTATTTGACAGCATTTTTGGCATGAATGGGAATGGCGCAGGTTCATGATGTTGCCTCTTTTTCTTTCTGTCTAGCCTGCATATGATGACTCTTATGCAGAGCCGGCATATGAGGGATATGATAATTATTATAGCCAGCCTTCTGCCCCTGCGTAAGTCAAGTTTAATTTATGTAACATGTCTCTTTAATGTGTGTTTTTGTTGTTTTAAATAAAAATTTTAATTAGGGTATAATTTAAGTATACCTTCTTAACCCTTGTTGGTGATGTGCCCCCAGGGATACAGAGTATTATGATTATGGACACGGTGAAGCCCAGGATCCATCATATGAGGCCGGTTATGGTAAGTCTTTAAATCACACGTATCTTTATTTTTGCTTTATTGCTTTCAGACTTAGCTGATATTTGCATCCTTTTTTTGGTTTCCTCTGCTCTTCTGTGACTTCTTGCAGCTCAAGATGATTGGGACAACTCATGGTCCGGTGCCGGGGCTGGAGGCAAGGCCCCTCCATCTAGGCAGGCGAAGGGATCGTACAGAGAGCATCCTTACCCAAGATACTGAACAACTACTGGTAGAGAGTTGCAGTGGCAACTGTCTCCGATTGTAACTCACACTTGACTTTACAAAAGTAATTTCCCTCTCATTTCCCTTGTTAATGGTTTTATTTAAAACATTCTTTTCTCTTTTTATTTTTTATTTTTAAAACCTAGGACATTTTGTTGGATGTATCCTAGTGCCAGAGGAGCAACATTTTTCTCCCTATTGTTTGTTTCAGTTGCGTAGTTAAGGTCTTAGTGACATAAACAGAACTAACAAAATGACTTTTTTAGTTTCGTTTTTGTTAGATATTTGATGGTAAATATTTTTGTTCCTGCACAAACTGTGATTGTGGCGATTAAAATTTTCTCACATAGGCTGCATTTGTTTTGTAAAAAAAAAAAAAGTCCTTCATGACTGGACAGAAATTATTCATAATGACTCCATTTGTAAATTTATAATAACTTAAACGGATTTAGTTGCAAACTCAAATAGAACCATTTTGATTAAAACGGTCTTATTTGTTTATATTGCATTACAAATCTAGTTATGTGACTTTACTCCCAAAGAGCAAATAAACAAAATATAAC